CCCAAGGGGACATCATCCTGCTGTGTTTTAGAATGAGAATGAAGGCATTTTGGTTATTTTAGTAAATAAGAATGAAGTGCAGATTTACAAAAGCATTCAAGGGGTGCTTGGGTGGCTCAGTCGGTTGAGTGTCCAACTTCAACTCAGGTCCTGAACTTGTGGTTTGTGAGTTTGAGCCCCGCGTCAGGCTCTGTGCTGATAGCTTAGAGCCTGGAGCCTGTGTCAGATTCTGTGCCTCCTTGTCCCTCTGTTCCTCCCCTGCTCACAGTCCATCTCTCTGTCTTTCAAAAATAAAGATTAAAAAAAATTTTTTTAAAGCAGTTAGAATAAGTATTGAGATGAATGTTAAGATCCCGAAGTAAGATACCTTTTTCATTGTATTATGGTCTTTTTTCTATTATGAAAAAAAAAAAAAAAAAAACACGAAAACTCAGCAGCTCAGTATACAATAAGTCAATTCAAAAGGATTATTCTTCATTTTTAAAATGTGGCTCTTAAAATAGAATAGTATCTTTTGGAATTATGGTAAATACATATGTCAAAATATAGTAAGTATATATGCCAAAAATATTTAGCATATATGATCATTTAATTGAGAAATTAGTTTTTGTTTTATGAGCTAGAGAATTATTTTTTATTCTATGAGTGCTAAAGGAGTAGAAAAAAAGATGAACATTCATAGTTATGTAGAATACAATCTACTGTAATTATTAAATAATTAATTTTTAACTGACATTTATTTTATTTTTAAATAATAACCTATCACGTAGTGGGAGAAGTATGGCTTAAGATTCAGAAGACTTGCTTCTATCCTAAGTTTTTTAATTCTTTTTTTCCTTTATTTTAATGTTTATTTATTTATTTATTGAGAGAGTGTGTGTGTGTGTGTATGCATGCACATGTGCTCATTTGGAGAGAGAGGGAGAGAGAGAGGAGAAAAAGAATCCTAAACAGCCTCCATGCTATCAGTGTAGAGCCTGACATGGGCTCAATCTCACAAACCATGAGATCATGACCTGAGTTGAGATAAGAATCGGATGCTTAAGCCAGTGAGCCACCTAGTCACCCCTAAGTTCTTCAAAGTTTAATTTTGAGAAAGTCATTTTAGGCTTCATTTTACCTACTTGTTGAGAATTTTGTTTGTTTTAAATGAGATTTGACTAGCTGCATTCTGTTTCCAAAACACTTGTGCTTTTGTTATTCTGTGATTATTGTTTTATATTATAATAATGCACTGCTTTAAATGTTTATCTTACTTAGAACTGTTAAAGAGGATATTATATTTTGGACAAACTTCAGTCATGTTTAATGTCCAGCTCCAATACTGCTCATTTTCTGTATCTCTTCATGATCACTTCAGAATTTCTTCTTCACCTGGGCTTCTATAACACTTTATGGTTATTTCTGTTATCTGTCACTTTTCATAATATTACTTACATGTATCTATCTATGGGTTGCCTATCTTTGTATCCTCAAGACGCTAAAATACTTTGCACACATTGGGTGTTCAGCCATTTTTAGTTGAATTCTGATGCCTGTATATTTAAATATGAATAGTTATGGGGCACCTGGGTGGCTCAGTTGGTTAAGCATCTGACTCTTGATATTTGGCTCAGGCCATGATCTCAGGGTTGTGGAACCAAGCCCCACGTCAGGCTCCAAGCTGAGCGTGGGGCCTGCTTGAGCTATTCTCTCTCTCTCTCTCCCTCTCCCTCTCCCTCTCTCTCCCCCCTCCCCCTCCCTCTGCCATCTCCCCCACACACATGGTCTACCTCTCTTAAATAAATAAATAAATAAATAAATAAATAAATACCAGTAGTTAATTCCTAATAATTAACATAGCAGAAAGTAAAGTTGTGTTCAATAACATTACCACTTGAGAGGTAGTATTCCATGTAATGAATGTTTCTTGTGATTCAAAACGCTTACTTCAGGTATTTAATAAGATTTAATATGGTCTTTTGGTCTTTTACACTATATGGATGGCATAAATGCTTATTTGCATGACTCAAGTACATAGATGGAAGAAGTAATCTTGTCACTGATTGTGCAATCACTAAAGTGGATGATTATTACTGATTACCTCCTACTTGTTCTGTTGCTTTTTGGATCAAAGGCACAAATTTCATAAAATTAAATGTTCTATGAACTATTCATAAGTGTATTTTTATGTAGTAATGTAATTTTTAGCAGACATTCATAGCCATTTACTAGATGATGTGCCCTTAAGTATAATGAATCAGAATATGATCCTTATTTTAGTGAGATTTTCAAATTCTTTTCAGCTCTCCCTCATCCTTATTTTTCTCCCTCATTTAAAAACTTCTTTTGAAGAGCCATATTGATTAATTTATTCAACAGCTGTATATTTAACATCTACTACATGCCAGGAACAGAGTTAGGCATTATTAGATTTGGATGTGAACACGACAGATAAGGTCTGTGTTGTCAAAATTAACAGGTAAACAACAAAATGTTTGCCCATTTTCCCAAATTTACTAATTGCCTCCCATGTGCTAGGCATCGTTCTGGAAACTGCACATACAGTAGTAAAAAGAGCAAAGTCTATACCCTTTTGTAGCTTGCATTCTAAAGGAGAAATGGGGAAATATGTGGGGAAAGCTACCTTTATGTAGGTTGTTCAAGAAAAGCCTTTCTAAGAAAGTGATGTTTGAGCCAAGATCTGAAGGCTGAGAAGGAACTGAAGTAAAAGACTAATTGAGGCAAAACAGCAAAATTGATTATACTGAGAATGAACTCCTGTTTTTTTTTTTTATTTTTTTTTTTTAATTTTTTTTTTTAACGTTTATTTATTTTTTGGGGACAGAGAGAGACAGAGCATGAACGGGGGAGGGGCAGAGAGAGAGGGAGACACAGAATCAGAAACAGGCTCCAGGCTCTGAGCCATCAGCCCAGAGCCCGACGCGGGGCTCGAACTCACGGACCGCGAGATCGTGACCTGGCTGAAGTCGGACGCTTAACCGACTGCGCCACCCAGGCGCCCCTGAACTCCTGTTTTATGCACATTAGTTTAGTTTTCAAGATGAGAAAGTTAAGGAGTTTATTATTGCTTTCATCTTTTCAATAATTATTAAGTAAGGGCATCAGCTGGGAAGTTTTGTGAGAGGGGATAGAGAACAAAGAGGAACAATCTGAGGAGAGAAAAGTGTGAGAAGAGAGATCATTGTGAAATAATCCCTCCAGAGAGCAAGGAACAGACAAACCAGGGAAGCGCATAGGACTTCTGGGCAGTGTCGACAGTCTACTTGTAGGTTTTTTTATCCTGAATTTGAAGTGAAACTAGCATTATGGTTGTGTGGTTTTCTCCAGCTGTAGGCACAGGTGTGAAGAAATGTAAGGTTTAACCAGAGCTGTTTTGTGGTTTTTTTGTTTTTTTGTTTTGTTTGTTTTTTACCCTGGGAGACTCATGGTGGAGAAAGAGGAACAAGAGCGTCAAGGGTGTTTGCAAGGAGATCATAATAACTCAAGCTATAGAATTTATGCCAGGGAAGAAGAAAATGAAGAAAGAATGAAGACTGAATACGGTTGATGGCTATAAAGAAAGTGAGAACTCAATGGATTGGTGGTGTGGCAGAGGTTGAACATTGTAGTTAGACTAGTGTATTTCATGAACCAACATTATTACGTAGTATTAATACCTATTTATTAACAGATGTGTTTCTATGTGTATGCATACACATACAAGCACAACTGCAGTCAACTTTTGTTTTATATTTAATGCTTATTTATTTTGAGAGAGGGAGGGAGAGAGAGAGAAGGGCAGAGAGAGAGGGAGAGAATCCCAAGAGGCTCTGTGCTGTTAGCACATAGCCTGACGTGGGCTCGAACTCACAAACCATGAGATCATGACCTGAGCCTAAATCACGAGCTGGATGCTTAACTGACCAAGCCACCCAAGTGCCCCTGCAATCGGCTTTTTGTCATTGAAAAAAGTGAGGTTTTGCAAAGGTAATTAAAAAAATGTGAGGCCCCCACATTTGTGTAAACAAAATTTATACAAATTTTGTATAAAATTTGTATAATTTTATACAAATGGTTGAATGTAATATAGGGAGAGTATAGGATGTTGAAAATACCACTGGGAAGTCAGAAAACCTGAAATCTTATTTCACATTACATATAACATCACCTTTGTAAAGTCACCTGGATTCATTGGCCATAGTGTCCTAATTATTTCAGCACTGTTCCAGGTATTGGGCATATCATGATACCTGATAAACATGGGTAAAATGCTATGCAAGTACAGAGGCGGGGCCTCAACCCAAATGGATGGAGAGTGGTCACATTCAGAGGAAATGACATCAAGCCAAGATCTGAAAGATAAGTAGGTGTTGGAATTTAGTAAAGAAACCACAGGCAGAAGTGGAAGGGATTCGTGTATATTAAAATCCTTAAGCAAGAAAAAAAAAAATGACCTTAAGGATCCTGAGTGGCCGGTTTGTAGTGACTGAGATAAGAGTTGAGACATGAGGCTAGAACATTAAGCAAGGACCGACCATATTTTAAAGAACCTGGTAAGCTAATGTTAAAGAAATTTCATGCTAAAAGTAATATGAGGGGACCCATTATTGGGTTTTACATACAGGAGTGGTATAAGACATGATCACTTTAAAGTGTGGGATTTGCCGTGATGATGTTGAATCTTTATCTTTGTGGTTAATTCTAAATTAATATTAATTCTAAATATTTTGTTTCTTATTTTAATATGAAAAGAATTAAGAGCAATTAATATGGGACTATATTAAACATAGAAATAAAGCCTTGTTTACAAAGCATTATTACTCTTAGTAATCTTTTTGCAAAAAGAATTGAAATTAAAATTTTCTATAATTCTGAGTACATTTGGTTACAGCTGTATATTTTCCATCATATTAGTGAAGTGTTAGTAAATTTCCCTTGAGTTTATGTTGCCATTTAATATCCCCAATGAGATGTACCTGAAACTGTACTTTTTCTCTCCAGTGATTTAAACTTGTGAGATGCTTCCATTAACTGGAAAAACAATCATCTTTGATAACTTTCCTGATCCTTCTGATACATGGGAAATCATTGAAACGATCGGCAAAGGAACTTACGGGAAAGTTTTTAAAGTGTTAAATAAGAAAAATGGCCAAAAAGCAGCAGTGAAAATTCTGGATCCGATTCATGTATGTCACATTGTTGTTGTCTCCTCCTCCTCCTCCTCCTTCTTCTTCTTCTCCTAATTAACTTTGTTTTTATTTGTATTAAGCAGTTAAAAAATCTGTAAATATCTTGATTTGCCACAATGTCAGTTACAGTAGAAGAAAATGTAAAAAAAAATCTGTTAGGTTTTTCTTATTTATACGCTTAACATATACAATAGGGACCAAATACAAATAAGTAAATAGATAAATACAGGTCTCAACAGCTCAACAGTTAAGTCAATGTTATTTTAGATTTCAAAAAATTGTAAGAACACAGACTCGGGTCTAGAGGTAATTCTAAAATGTCATCTTTGCCATATCTCTTTTTCTTCCTATATTTATTTAGGCTTCAGGCAGAATATCTCTTAAGCTAAACGAGAAATATTTTATTTTAAATTCTTTCAGAGATGGGAAATTTATTTTCAGGTTTGCTGAAATGTTTCCAAAGCAAAAATGGTACTCACTTGTAATCAGGGTGGGTTACCTTGTAAAGAACTGATAATGTGCGTGGAGTCCTTATGGCCTTTTAAGTGATGCCCCAGTAGGGTCCTCTTCTGCTGTTTGTGGAATGGCAGTTGTGATAAGGGAAACTTCCAAGCCTTTTTTTGGGGGGTGGGAGGGGGCTTTCAGAGCATGAAGAAACTGATGAGACTTTTTTTCCCCCTGAGAATGAGAACTGGCTATTTTGTAACATTTTCAGCTCCTGGGAAACATGTAGCTCTCCCCATAGCAAGTTGGGTGAGCCACCATGAGCTCAGTGATCACATAATACCCAAACTTCTATTGAGAGCAGTTTCTTTAGTTACTTGACTCTTGCACAGGTGATGGAGTGTGACATGACAGAAATGATGTGAGAAGGACAGGACTCCTAGTCCTTGTCACAGCTCTTATACTAACAAACTGTAGGACCCTGCAAAAGGTCTCTGGGCCTCTGTGCATCTTAGGGTTGCTCGCTCTTTTTGGATTGTTTATTTCTACTAAACCCATTATAACTACAGTGTTTCATATTATTTTGAGGAGAGGGGAGGGAGAGTGGGGGTTTATTTTCAGCAAGAAATTAGATACACTGGAGGGGAAAAAAAAAAAGAACTATGCCCGGGCTTTACTGATGCTGAATGTTTTCATATTCTCTAATGGAAAGTTCTTATAAACTGAAGGAGGAGAGACACAAATTAAGCTGTACCAAAGTAACTATAACTCTCTCCTCTGGTCTACATAATTATGGTTTAGGGTCATGGTGGTAAGGGAAAGGGCTCTGGCCAGATCCCGTGTCTGGCCCTGTAACCAGTGTCTCTTCTTTTCTTCTACTCCTTAGTGGAGAAGAACACATGAATTATGAATACAGATAGCCACTATCCTTTTATAATTTACTCATGTTTTGTATACTTTGAACCTTAAAAATCATCTTTTGTCCTATTGCTTTAATGAAATATATATTGATTTCGTGAGATTTGTTCTTTTGCTGCCTTTATTCTTGTCATGGTACATATATGTTTTTCTGAGAATTATTTATTTCCTCTTCATTCATCATGTCAGAAGTCAAATATAAAAGATTTATAACCAAGAGATTATAATCTTAATAAAATAAATTTAAATGCGTCTGAGCATTTTACAGAGTGGCTTTTTTATTAAAAGAGTCTTACTATTATGAATTTTGATAGAGTAAGTGTCTATCCAAGAAAGGGATAAAATGAACAGGATTAGAAGGTCATAGGCATTAGACTTGCAGTCTCATTCTGGATCTTACACTAACCAGCTCTGTGACCAACTTCTCTGAGCTTTAGTTTCTTTTTCTAAAATTAGAGCTCTGGTCTAAAATTCTTTGCAGCTCTGTGATTACATGATTTTGTAAGAAAACAACGTGGATGCTAAGTATTACTATAAAAACAGTAGTAGAAGGGTTTCTCTTATTACTACTCTGAGTTGTTTCATATTTTGTGGTTTTCTAAAAGCATGACTTTAAGTGGTTATCTTGCATTTTTGTTGACAGGATAGCGATGTATTCTACTTCTGGCAAATGGGCCTCTACCTAACTTAAGGCTGTGTGCCATCTTATATACGTAGGAATTTATTGCTTATATGACTAGTTTTTGAAAGCTTCTAAATATCCTATATTTCAAAGAAACAAATGAACCAGCTAAAAGTATTTATTTCAAATCAGTGGCTTCAAAACAGTGGCCACTAAAACAGTGTTAACACTGCAAAGAAAGGAGTATCTTTTGGAATCTCCATGTATGTTTCTTTCTAACTACATACAAAAATAGTCTTTTATTTGTCCCTTTGTAACTCAAGGAAATTAACATAATTAGAGATGTATTTGATTAGCAGGAAAATCACAATCTCTCCCCTTAAATAATGGCATCAGAAATTTCAGTGCCTACTACTGAGCATAATAAAACCTATTATTATAACCTTGCTTTGACAAAATTAAATTCTCTATTTGGTGGTCTACAGTATGTGCCTCTTTGACATAATTCATGTTTTTCTCATGGTTTTCTTTTTATGACCTTTTGAAACTAGGACATTGATGAAGAGATTGAAGCAGAGTATAACATCTTAAAAACGCTTTCTGACCACCCTAATGTGGTCAGATTCTACGGGATGTACTTTAAGAAGGATAAAATAAGTGGAGATAAGCTGTGGTTGGTTCTTGAGGTAAGTGTTTCAACATTATTCTATGTGTAGAAATTTACTGTGTGGTCTTGGAATGACTGAACGTTTGTGTAACATCAATACCATAAAACCATGGTTCCTTTAGTATGTTCCCGACTGCTCATGGACTCAATAGAATGTTGTGCCCCATTCTGGCCCTGTGGCTTTAAGACACAAGAGGACATTAAAGAAAAGCCCTAAAGGCTATTAAAGACTAAAAGGAGACATCTCCACGATAAAAGACTCAATAAGCGAGAATTATTTTCCTTGCAGAAGAACAAGCTTAAAGGGACTTCATTATAATATTTATTTATTCATCTGCATTTTGCTTGGCTAACACGCGACTGAGGCTCTGTGCCAGGTGCTGGATATAATAGAAAATTAGTGTAAGTGAGGCTTCATTAGACAAAAATGGTAAGCTGCGAGGTTTTTTTCTGTCCTCATTGAATACTAATGATATAAACTACAGAACCAGGTATTTACATTTATGGAGTAAAAACCTTATTAGAAATGGTATTGAATGCTGAATAAGTTGCCAAAGGGAAGCTGTAGAGTCTCCTGAGAGTAGGTTTGGACAATTCTATCTAATGCGGAAATACTAGAAGGTGCTCTCTCAAGGGAACTGCCAGTCCCAGAAGAATGTAGTTTTTCTCATTTTCATTGAATATGATTGAAGTGAGGTAATCATTAATTCTAATAAAATTCATAAGCATTTTTATTTTTGAACAAAATTTTTAATGTTTATTTATTTTTGATAGAACACAAGGTGGGGGGAGGAGAAGAGCGAGAGGGAGACACAGAATCCGAAGCAGGCTCCAGGCTCCGAGCTGTCAGCACGGAGCCCGACGTGGGGCTCGAACCCACAGGCAGTGAGATCATGGCCTGAGCTGAAGTCGGACGCTTAACCGACTAAGCCACCAAGCGCCCCTTCATAAGTGTTTTTAATAGTTGCTTTTATGAAACTCAGGACTGGTAAAACCTTTACTGGATCACTGTAGTAGCGTGCATTTATTGTGTTCATTATGATTTTATTAGCGTTTGGTTATTGTATTTCTTTCAGAATGTTCTGTTGGTTTTTCTGCAGACATACGTGTAAATTGTATTGTTTTCATACTTTATATTTTTTCTATTCTTTAAATGATTTTTTAATGATTTGAAATAAATGATCATTGTAAAAAATACTTGAAACTATAAAAAGAACATTATGTACATTAACATTTAACATATTTCCTTCATCTTTTTGTCTGTGTTTCAAATGATTGGCAATATCATTATTATGAAGTTATCCTACTTTTTTCACTAAATATAATTGCAGATAAACTTAATCATCTTTATCTTTTTCTGAATAAATACATTCATTTGGTTAGTAAAAAGCAAGTAGAACCAAAAGACTTATAATCCAGAGCAGTAACAGCGTAGATCCAGTTTGGTGGTGTTAACTTGTCCCGAGCACGTCTGTGCTTTGGATGCACACCTGGAAACGCAGGGCTGAGCTTCTCTTCTCTTTCATTTTCTAATCTGTGTCCTGAATTTTGGCAAGGTATTAATTGTGCTTCTGGAACCCTGCGTCCTCCTGCTCCACAGTGGAGTTCTGCCGAGCATCAGACCTTTCTAATCTCTCTCTCTCTGCCGCTCACCTATGTGGGATCCACTGTTCCCCAAATCGCTTGGCCTCCCCTTTCCAAGTTGACTTTCCTATTTTACATACCACGTAGTAGTGTGTGCCTCATTCTCGTTATCCACTCTACTGATGTCACCAAATCTCATGTCCCTTCAGGTCAGTTTCTCTAGGGAATAAAATCTCCAGTCTCTTGTCTGGATGTGTGTGTATGTGAGGAGTACTCTGGCAGGCTTCTGGATGTTGGTATTTTATATGTGAGATAAGAGGTTGTCAAGTCTTTTGATTCTAACCAAACTTCCAAAGGGTCCCTTGTTTTCTACCCCACCTCTCCCAACTCCTGGGTTAATCTGCTCAGGTGACCACAAAATAGCTCTCACCTACTGCTTTATTTTGTGGCTTCCTCTGCACTGCCAAATTGGTCACCACTGGGCCATCTGCTTTCCATGTTGAAAAATTTTATTGAACTCTCTCGTCTACGGCTCTCCTTTTTTCCATTCTCTTTTTGTGTGTGTGTGTGTGGTTTATACTTTTTGATTCTATTACTAACATTTTAATGGAGATTCATGAATGAGAGGAAATAAATTTATATGTTTAATCTGCCACTTTAAATTGAATCATAGAGCCTTTCAAAATTGTAAAATAGTATTTTCAGGAACCTTTTCAAAATGTGAAACTGTATTATATTATTTTATAGAAATTTAAAAAATCTAAAAAAAATTTTTTCATATTTATTTGTTTTTGAGAGAACGTGGGTGAGGGAAGGGCAGAGAGAGAGGGAGACACAGAATGTGAAGCAGGCTCCAGGCTCTGAACTGTCAGCTCAGAGCCTGATGTGGGGCCTGGACTCACGAACCACGAGATCACAACCTGAGCTGAAGTTGGACACTTAATTGACTGAACCATCCCGGCGCCCCGAAATCAAGAAAATTTTTAAATAACCAGTTGTGTTCTTTAAAAATAGGCAATGTATTATGATTTCAAAATTACTTTTTCTCTATTGAGATTGCTTTATATTTTTAATTAAGTCACATATTAAAACAAAGCAAAACTTTTAGTCCTCTAAACTTTACCTAAGTGATAGAATATAAATTAGGAACTGAAAACATTTTTCCTTAAATAAATGGAGAATTTTCTAAGTTTACCTCATGTTTGTGTTTGTATATTTGAGATGTAATTCTGTGCAGACCCTTAATGCAGTCTTGAATAAAATTTTGAATCTTTATATCCTTCAAATTTGTATTTATTTTAAAAAAATTTTTTTAATGTTTATTTATATTTGAAAGACAGAACATGAGTGGCAGAGGGGAAGAGAGGGAGACACAGAACTCATAGCAGGCTATAGGCTCTGCAGTGTCAGTGGGCTCGTACCTGTGAACCGTAAGATCATAACCTGAGCCGAAGTTGGACATGTAACTGACTGAGCCACCCACGCGCCCCCTCAAAACATTTTTAATAATGCATCTTTATTTTTTTTCCATATGGAATCATTGGTAGATTAGCATTTGAATGAAAACTCCGGTATTCTGCCTACTGTAGGCCTAAATGGGCAAGGGCACAAGATACAGTTCTTTGCCCGGGGTTTAAAAATATTAAATGGGATCGGGTCATTGTCTTTTATGCCTATCAAATCTATGTTATAATTATATTGTCATTTCTCAGTATTGTCAGTAGGAATTAGGTAAGAGTTGGAGACTCCTGATCACAGTTAAATGTTCTTTTGTGAGAGGAGAGAAGATTGATTAAAAAGGTTTGGAACATCCAGTACAAGTAAAGCAGCTTCCTGGTAACAATGAATCAGTAGGAACTTAACAGCTTCTTTGAACTTTCTTCTTGTATTTTATTATCACATGGAGGAATTGGAAATATCCCTAGATGGCTTGAGAAAAAAAAATACTGGTAGTTTATTAAAATGGTATTTTGGAAGTCTGAATTAATCTGAACTTAGAGTATGAGGGAAAAAATAAAGGAAGAAGTTGGCCAACTGTATATAAGATAATTGATTTACATATGTAAATTATACTAATCACATATACACATAAGTGGCTAGATGCACAATTACCTGCTTTATAAACATGAATGGTGCAGGTGCTGCTTTAGAAGCACTTTCAGAAAATTGGCTTGTGGCATCAATACTTTATTCTACAAAATGACTACTAATTATACATCTTATTGTAAGAAAGCCCAAATAAATTACTTTGCATGAGGATAGGAAAAGAGTGGCCAGAGAGAGGATCTGATATTACCCAGAGTCATGCTAACAGCGCTGGGCTTCTAATGTGAATCTTCATAGGGTATGTTCTGCAGGGGGTGAGCAGTTGGTGACACCCCTCATTATCAGCTGGGCATGTGGGGAGGTGATTCCAGCTTGGACAAACTCCTTTTCACCATGAAATATCATTTCATGTCTATTTCAATCCAGAGTTCAAATCCTAAGATAAATGATATTAACTCAGATCTTACTGGGTTATTTTCTCTATTCTTTCTTTGTGATTCCTAAATTATTTCGTTTACTTTGATATAATTTTTCTCTTTCCTGTATTTTTCCTTTGTATTTCCCTCTCCTTTTGTTATGAGTTTCTCAGCATGAATAATATACAGGGCCTTGTTCAGGAATTATTTCCTTCTGAATTCTCTGTATGTTCATTTTCAGATGCTAATTGTTGCCCAGATTTAGGAAGAGAGTACTCGTTGCTAGGTCTCTGAAATTCCAGTTGCATATTTGTAATGAAACTATCTAATAAGAGATAGGGTAGGAAGTTTTCTGCTGTGGGAACTGATGCAATGTCTACGGGGATTTTTACTGTCACTTAGTATTTTAGGTTTTCCTAATGATGTAGGCATAAAGGGAGAACTTAATTTTTTTTTTACTTCTGCCTTATTTTTAAAGATCATACATATCTTCATTTCTACTTACTGTTACCATTCTGGACTGACCTGCTTAGTTAAATGTGGATACCGCTTTTGGCTTTGTGTTTCCTTTAACTGCTAAGAGTCTGTTCTTCAGAGTCAGTAGCCAGGATGGAGGGGGGCGAGCAAAGTGGCAGTTGGTTAGGTTTCTGCATATGCTTATCACTGACCCAGGAGACTAAAAAATAAGAGTCAAAATTGAGTTCAAAGGGTCTGGTATTAAGCATTTGCTATTGATGAGCACAAAGGGAAAAATTGAGATTTAACTAGAATTTTCCCCTTCTCGGTTGGCCAAACAGCCACATTTTAAGGATGTAAGGAATCCAGTCTCCTGTCTTGGGGGCCCTTTGCTTGGTGTGTCCTCTGCCATAACGGGGTTGAAATTCAGAGTTTGGACATCTTTCTGTTAAGAGACCCTTTCCCTCGTAATCCAGTCTTAGCTATAACTGCTTCTTTCATGGTGGTGCTATAGATT